AATTCTTTTAAAAACAATGGTTTGAACTTGTGATCATTATTATGATCGTCACTATTATAGGACCGGATTACATCATCATTTAATCCTTTCAACCATTCTTCTGCATTATCTTGCATATAAGCTTTGGCAATTGCGAGAGTTCTATCAGCATTCCAATTATTCGCAATAACAGCTCGCTCAAATTCATTAATCCAGTCAACAGGATCTTCAGTACCATCTCCTTTAAATGGCTTAATTTTAATAAGTGATTTTTCTCCTCCTCCTCCTCTAGCAATAGCTTCAGCTAATCAAGTTATAGCTTCAGTGGTTTCTTGTAAATCACCTATATTTTCTTCTTCGTCAGTATCTGAACTATCTGATTTGTGTGGAGGTGTTAAATTAGTTTGTTCTGGAAGAAAGTTTTGTTCTAATATATTTTTTGATTCTGTTTGATCAAAATTTGTTTCTTCTTGATTATAGTGGATAGGACTAGTTGTTATTCCAGGAAGTTGTGGGTAGACTGAAGAATAGGTTGGAGAATAAGTAGAGGATGAACTAGAAATTTTCTGATAAAGGCGATTTGAGCGTGGACTAGATGTTTTAATATTAGGATAAAGAGGCTGATAGTCTTGGTCTAATGAAGTTGTAGAGGTAATAACTTCTTCTTCTGCAGTATGTACTGATGCAGTTTCAACTATACTTGGAGTTTCTGTAATTACAGAATGAGTATCGTCCTGGTATATTTCTGAAGTAGATGAGAATGTAGTTCGACGAGGACTATAAGATACCAAAGTTTTATAGACCCTTTGGATAAATTTCGGTGAAGAAGTAGATGATAAAGAGGCTTCTTCTAAATTAACACTTTGAGTATCAGGTGGGGTTAAAGATTCTTCCCTTCTTTCTGATTGAGTAGTTCGAGTAGGAGTTGCAGTAGAAGTAGATGCAATAACAGGTGTTCCTATCCTAATAATAGTATCAGGAGAAGATGGTGGTAAAATAGGTGTAGTAGTTTCTTCTGTAGTTTGTTGTTCTTCGTCTGAGTATAATGTTTGAAGATAAGACTGAGCGGCAGTAGGGTTGTCAATAAAAATATCGTAATGGTTGATATAGGCACTCGAAGCTTTGTTAAGATTATGAAAAGAGGTATGTTTTCGTAAAATAAGTTGAGCAGTTGATCGAGGATTAGGTACAGCTTCTCTGTATTGGCAGCTAAAAATAATATTTCGAATAGCTAAACGGGCTTTGGCTCGATCAGTATTAACTAGCTGATAAAAACTAGAACTAGTAGCTTGACTATAGGTAGTAGCGTTATAGGCTTGAGAATACCAGTCCCAAAATTCTTTAAAACGTCCACGAAGAGTAAGTGTTATCGGATAGCACTGAGTACAAGTTAAATCAGGTGCAATAGTTTGAATAACAGAAATAGCAAGAGAAGGGCTGTTGAGATGGGTTCGTCTATGCTTTTGAATATTTTCTAGATGATAACGGGTTAACAGATCTCCCATAAAATAAATAAATCTTTAAAAAGAAGATTAGTAGTAACAACGATAAAACGATAGAGAAAATAAAATAAAAGAAAATAAAATAAATCGAAGAGGGTTGCTAGCAGTAACGAAATGAAATAAAATTCGCGAATAAAACAAAAGAAAAATAACTCGAGTAAAGATAACAAAATATAATTCCAAAATTTAAACAAAATATATATATGGCCGGCAAGAAAGTTAGTAGTAGTAGGAGGTGAAAGCATAAACTCCTTGTCAAAACAAATCCAAATACAATTCAATAAATTAAATACAATTCAAGTTAAGTTAGTAGTGGTATACCAAAAATATAATTTCCTAGGATGCTTTTTCCAATAGCTTCTGCTGCTCCAAGAGAGTTGAAAATAGTTTCTGCAAGAAGGTTTCCTTCCAAGAGAGAGAGGTTTTGCTTCCAAGAGAATAAATTTTGCTCCTTACAAAATTTTATGTTTCCGCCAGGAGGCACCAAAATGTTACTGGGTTGTAGCCTTCTTAGTAAAATACAACCAAGTAACAAGGTCACCCGGTACAGTGATTGACTATTGCAAATATATACAGGGTGGAGGTGTAGTTGTTCACTTAACTATACAGCAGCAGGCAAACGGTTCGAGATAGTAACAGTATATAAGATAGCTTTATTTAATACAAGAATGGTGATAAGCCTTGCCTGTAGAAATTATCCTAGAGGGGGGAATATCACACTTTACAAGATAAGAAGGGATAAAGAATATCAGAGTCTAAGCGAAGTATAGGAACTTAAGAATTGGCAGGAAGGGGGAAAAGGCACCCTTTATATATCTTTTCTGCTCAAAGCAAAGGTACACAGCGTGCAAGGAGACATTGGAGGATGAGTAACATTAGTGGAGAAAGTTGGGGAATTGTGTCGGAGGAAGTTGGGGGATTATACTGGGAGAAGTTGGGGAATATAAATATTACTCGATTTGTTTATATTTATTTATTGTTTGTGAAGGGGAACCTGGGGGAGGGGAACCTGGGGGACTTTGCGACGCAATGTGGAGCTTGCGACATGATACCTTGTGTTCAAAACACTTAGGATTTCGTGTGAGGGAATCTGGAGGATTCCGTGTAGAGGAACTTAGGGGAAATTGTATTACTCTTTTGTGATACCTTTCATGTAACCTAAAATACTCTTTCGTGTAACCTTGTATCACCTTAGGTCACCTTAGGTCATGTAACTGCGCCCACTTCCAATAGCCAATCAAATTATTCCTATATATCGACTATAAAATTACTATCTAATATAATATAATAATATACAATATACTGTATTTTCGCGTAATAACGCGCAGGGGTGTAATTTCAAATTTTGGCCTAAATTAAGCTTAATTCGGGCCAAAATTTGAAATAACGCTCATGGGCATTATTACGCGAAAATACGATAAGAATATACCAAATATAATTAAGAATAAACTAACTAAATATATATATAATAATAAATAATACTAAGATAAAAATAACTTAAATTTCTATACCAAATGCTACACTAAAATCTACTTTGTAACAATATAGAAAGTGTCTAATCAGCATTGGATAGATACTCTGTTGAATCTTTTTCACCCTATAAGTTCAAAACTAATAGACCAAATAAGCTCCTTGTCATTTGTCCTACAGCCAATACTAGTACATGCCTATTCACCATTTCTGCTAATGAATGTAAAGATGGTTATATTCATATTATGAAGTTAATTCAACATGATCAAAATTGTCTAACACTTATACAGACATTTAAAGCACGTGGATTATATTTTACAAAGTTTTCTGCGCCATTAATTGAGGATATTGCTGCGCTTAAACCTCGTGATGTTGTAAACCATGTTTGTTCAGAAGTAGGAGCTGAAGCGTCATATATAACAGCATGGAGAAGCCTGACTGCTAATAAAAAATGCAAGGCAGAAGAAATAGACAAAAGTTATCAATGTATAAAACCATTACTTAATCATTTACTTGCAACAAACCCGGGAAGTATTGTTTCATTTGAGACTGATGCTGAAAATCGATTTACTCGTGCATTTCTTTGTCTACAACCATGGATTAAGGCTGCTGAACATAGTAGAACTTTATATACCCTTGATGCATACCATTCAAAATCAAGCTATAAGGGCATGTATTTTTGTGCAAACGCAATTGAAGGTGAAGAAAAACTTGTTCCAATAGCATTTGCTATTGGATCTGCTGAAAATTCAGATAATTGGTTATGGTTTTGTAAAAACTTATATAAAGCTCTTCCAATAATGAATTTCAACGAATCAGTAGTCATAAATGATCGTGAAAAGGTATTTTTTCAAATTATTTAAATAATTCAAATCTTTATTAATATTATAATATAAAACATTTATTATAGGGTATTATAGATGCTGTAAAAATGAAACTTCCTAATGCTTTTCATGCATATTGTGTATGGCATATTGAGAAAAACATTAACACGAAATTTCGAACAAAACTTGAAGGCAAAATTTGGGCTGCAGCAAAATTATTGCATGTAGAAGGTTTTAACAAGGTTATGGAAGAAATTTCTAATCTGCATACTGAAGCTGCTACTTATCACAATGAAATACCTTCTGAGACATGGACTCTGTGTAAATATCCACGAAATAGATTTGGACATCTCACTTCTAATGTATCGGAATCTTTTAATTCTTGGTTATATGATGAACGTCTTACAGAACTGTTTGAAGCAATTATTTTACTTATACGTAATGTCAACACGCTTTACTACAATCGTCGCACAACATATTCCTCAGTGAAGACAATTTTACTACAAACTACTACTCGACAACTCCAATCTGTTATTGACAAATGTTGTAACAGGATAGTGCATCAAACTAATGAATCAGTTTTTGAAGTAAAGAGTAACGATGACAATTTTTGTGTTGTAGATCTTGCCTTATTAACCTGCACTTGTCAACAATTTCAACAGTACCGATTTCCTTGTATCCATGCCTGTGCCGCTATTCTCAAAACTCACCAGCAGCCATCACAATTTACACATTTTACATACTACACTGCTACTCTTCAAAATGTTTATAAAGAGTCTGTTCAGCCTGTGGATGTAAAAATGTGTCTTTCCGATAATCAAACATTACCTCCAGCAACAATTAAACAAGCAGATCAACCACGAAAAATTCGGTTACACAGTTATGGAGAAGTTGCTCCAGAAAATCAAATTACTTGCGAAAAGTGTGGTAAAAAAGACCATAATTCACGTACTTGTGGCCGGCGACAAAAAAAAACAATTAAGAAAGTTTAAGAGAATGTGCTATTGCGATTTATGTATTTCATTAGAATATACTCTTGCAATTAATATTGCATAATAAATAAACATTTATTGGCGTAGTTAAATTTGGGTCCTCATTTGTAATAATTTTTAAATTTGGGTCCCAATACATAATTATTTTTAATTTGGGTCCCTATCTGTAATTATTTTGATTTTTTGGGTCTTTATTTGTAAATTCCCCTAAAATATATTCTAACCAGAGGACTTGTCTGACCACTACTCTACAATAGGAAATCGCCAATCTGATGACATCTTCTTGTAGAAAAGTGAAAGAAAAAGAAAAAATTTTTAAAAAAACGCAGAGGTATCCCTTAAACTATAAGCTCTTTCAAGCAAATTTGTCTAGAAAATTATTATAAATATTGTTATGATCTACTTTTTTAAATTTTAATATATTTAAATAAAATTTTTTTTGATAATATTTAAAAATAAGGATTATATTATAGCAGTATTTAATTTTATATTATAAGAAAAAAAGTCTTAGTTACTTATAAGATAAAAA